AAAAAAAAAAAAAGAGAAAAAAAGAAAAAAAAAGAAAAAAACTTGAGCTGACTAGAGGTGGTAAACATACATGGCTTAAGCAATTAAGCAGTGAAACTCCTGTGATAAGATAGAACAGAGAACACAGTACAGGACATAGGGTAGGTTGAGAGGGGTAGTTCAGTTTGGAAAGCAGAGATTTTCTTCTGTGAGATATTTAAAACCAAAGATGCATATTTAGTAGTACATGGTTGTTTACATGGCTCAGAAAGGAAATCTCAGTTGGAGAGACTTGTGAGTCTTTAATAGATAGGTGCCATTAGCCTAAAACATGTATGTAGGATAAAGGACTTTGAAAAGGAAACCAACACAAAAATTTAACTTGTCCAAGATCACCCACATGGTGGATAGCAGAATTCACACACAAACTCAGTTCTGTCTAATCCAGTACCTTTGCCCTCTCCACTGTATCTTGCACAAATGAGAAATCTGAAAATTCACTGGAAACTGTAAAATGTTATAAATATATATAAGTATCTCTATTAAAACAAAGTAGCTTAACAAACACCTTTTGCAACATAAGGTAGATAAAACGTCACCTGCTTCCAAACTCTAAAATGCGTACATCAGTGAAGCTTCATTTGCCTTTAATTCAAGAGTTAATTAATGGATTATATTAATTATATAATTATGGGTCGATTATATTACCTTTGTCATAGTAGAAACTGACTTAGAAAAGAAAATGCTGGCCGTGGGAGGAAGCCAGAAGTGTTCAGCCCTAGGTCAAAAGTTTTATTCAGGAGCACAGGTTTATGTGGTTTGTGTACTTTCCAGTATTTACTTCATAAGGTAACAATTCAATTCCAAGGTTATTTATTCTATTACAAGTACAGTAGTATCACTTAGTAGACTTTTGAAACAGGGTACAACTTCTGACATTTAAAATGAACAGATGTAACTGGCATTGTAAAATTATTCTAATATGTAAGATCAACAAACAAACTACACAGCAAGTATTCGGTGTATTACTTTATTTTCTATTGTATTAAACGAAAGCCAGGAAAATACCAAGTTATTTTTAAAGGCAAATCTTTACTCCTTAAAGAAAAAATACAAACTGTGGTATTTTTAAGATAGATCGTTATATTTTACATAATATAAACAAAATCACTAATGCATCTATATGTTTGGTTTCCTTAAACTACAATGAACCACAGGATGGGTGGAAAAATGCATTTACTTTTTGGTGGCAAATAAACATAGGAAAAAACACGTAACACATAGCATGCCTTTTTTTTCTTACTGTCTACACACAGGAATGGACATAATCAAGCCTTAATAGCCACCACCTCCTCTTCCCGGTCCAAAGTAGCCGGTTCCATAGGCCCCCCTAGGACCTCCTCGCTGGAATCCTCCAGATCCTCTGAAGCCTCCAATAGGCCCTCTGTAGTCTCCTCCAGAGTTGCCTCTATAGCCACCTCGGGAAACTCCTCTAAAGCCTCCACCAACACCGGCACCATATCCTGCCCGAAAGGAGTTGGCGCTGCCACCATAGCCTCCGGTACCATAGCCTCCACTGTTATAGCCACTGCCATAGCCTCCACCACCATAACTAGAACCTCCCCTTCTATATCCGCTTCCATTGTCATAGCGGGCCATCTTGGGAGGACGTGGACCATCTCCATACCTAGAAAAAGCATGAAACCATCACTTTAGCAAAGTGTAATTTCTCAACCACGCACCAATTGTCGTATTTGAAATTTTAATACATAAAAGGAATTAAGCCAAATGCACAAACAGAAATTGAAATAAGATTGATCTGCTGTTTTAAAATAATCATCAATTCTATTGATCTGTTTCTCTACTTTTCTTTCTGGTTCAATCTCAAAGGTTTTGAATTTTGGCAGTATGTCATTTCAAGTTTAGGATAGTCCTCTTTTACTCAGCTAAACAATATAATGTTCCAAGAAGGCAAGCATTAGGAGAGGGTTCCTGCAGCTGCCGATAAACTGCTTCATCTTTATCACCAAACGTTTCCCTGCATTAATTCTCAAGTATGATTTTGAAAAATGTCCTTGGTAATTATTTGTTTCCTGTGACAAATAAGGAAAATGAAGGCTAATGAAAAATAGCAGAAATCAAGATGGACCATCAACAACTCCAATTAAATTCCCAACCTGCTTATTACTCCTGTGCAGCGTTTCTTCAAGACCAACACTACCAATTCAGCAGTTAAGGGAGAAATATGGCTGTGTGGCCAGGTGCAGTGGTTCATGTCTGTAATCCCAGCACTTTGGCAGGCCAAGGTGGGTGGATCACCTGAGGCTAGGAGTTCAAGAATAGCGTGGGCAACATGGTGAAACCCTGTCTCTACTAAAAATACAAAAATTAGCCGAGTGTGGTAGTGTGCACCTGTAATCCCAACTACTCCGGGGGCTGAGGCAGGATTGTTTCAACCTGGGAGGCAGAGGTTGCAGTGAACCAAGATGACGCGACTGCACTCCAGCCTGGGCCACAGAGCAAGACTGCCTCTCAATAAAGAAATATGGCTGGTTTCTGTCTTCCTTCTTTCGTTGCACTATTCCATTTTAGTCCATCACCAATTCCTATTGATTCTACCACAAATCTGTCTAATCCAGTCACATCTCCCCGCTGCAATTCTATCTACCACTGTAATTCAGGCCACCATCACATTTATACATCCCAAACTCTCTACATATACCCCATTCTTCCTAGTTTCTGGACTTTTATCCTTCATAGAAACAGATTATGTACAAAGGCTCCTTGCTTACCAGCTGTCCTACCAAAAATAATATCTTCTTTTTTTCTTTTTTTAGAGTCATTCTGTTGCCCAGGCTGGAGTGCAGCCGCTCAATCTCAGCTCACCGAACCTCTGCCTTCCAGATTCAAGCAATTCTCCTGCCTCAGCCTCTTACCAAGTAGCTGGGATTACAGGCACGCACCACCATGCCTGGCTGATGTTTCCATTTTTAGCAGAGATGGGGTTTCACCATGTTGGTCAGGCTGGTCTCAAACTCCCGACTTCATGATCCACCCGCCTAAGCCTCCCAAAGTGCTGGGATTACAGGCATGAGCCACCACACCTGGCCAATAATCTCTCTTCTAAACACCCATGAGTACTTCATTTGCATCTGCCTATGACGCTTATTGATTTATACATTTAATCACCGAGAAGGGCCACAGGATAGCATAAGAGCACTGTTTCAGAAGCAATGTTATCTGGGTTTGAATCTGGTTTTATCAGTTACTAGCTATATGATCTTGGGTCTTAACTCATCCGTGCGCAGTTTCCTTAAAGAGGATGAGGACAACAATCTCCCTATTTCATAGATAGATCAAATCCAATAAATCATTTTTGATGAGGAATTAGAGAACATTTTTGGATAACCTGAAGAATTTTAATAAACATTAGTATATTATAGCATTACTAAAACACTTAACGTTTTGGGTTGTGACTGTGGTATTGTGGCCATGTCTTAAAAGATATGAAGTGTATTGATGTACAATGTGATAATGCCTGTTACTTCAGCACAAATGATTAACCAAATGTACAAAACACTGAAAATTAGTGAACCTAAATAAAGACTATATGACTATACATTGTATCACTCTTCTGCCTTTTTGGTAGGTATTAAGTATTTGTAAATAAAAACTCGTGGGCAAAGAAACATTTAAAAAACCTAAAGCAAATACAAATTTTAAGAATTAAGATACATTTCTTAAATATCCATGCTCTAGTTGTTTAAATAGAAACACATACACATTTCATGAAAGCAATTTAACATCTCATAAATATTTTTTCTTTAGTGATGCCAAAACTGTACCATAGAAAGAGGACTATGTGGGCTGTGTCACTTCCCTGTCATGTCACCCACTCTGGACTATATATGTACTTGTAAGATCCTTTTCTAGCACTACCAACATGCACTCACTGATGCAATGGACCAATTACTAACAAGGGACTGATAAAAGTAAATAATATTCTAAGCATGTTAGCCAGAACTAAACTCCCTATATATGGCGTTTGTCTAGAATTTTAACTTAAGTAATAAGACTTCTATCACTAACTCTAGGATTCTAGGCCTACATAAGATGTCTCTCTTTTATTTAGTCCAAAGATAAGTTAGTATGGTACTCACCGTGTACTGCCAATCATAAGGTTGATACCAGCAGCTGAAGGTCTAGAGATTTGACGGATCATGTTCAGCATACGTTCATTTATGGGGTCCAACTGGCTGATGATAGCAGGTTGTTTGGTTACTTCAACAACCAGGGCCTCCATGGCTGCCCGGAGACCAGTAATGCAGGCAGCAGCTTCATGAGATATTTGTAATTTAATCCTAAAATGGCGAAAAACATTCCTTTAAAAAACTACTTATAATGGCCCCAAACTTGGGAAAACACAGATATGAACAGTAATAATCAGCACTAGTCTCTTAAAATTCACTGCCAGCTATTAAGCAGGGGTCTTAAGCCATAAACTCTATCAAGCCAAATAAAATATAATAATATATATGTAATATATGCAGTATATATAAAAAACAAAGCCTGGCAACATGGATCATTCAGACTTTATTTATTCATTTTTGAGACAGTCTCACACTGTCGCCCAGGCTGGAGTGCAGTGATGTGATCTCCATTTACTGCAACCTCCACCTCCCAGTTCAAATGATTCTCCTGTCTCAGCTTCCTGAGTAGCTGGGATTACAGGTGCCATGCTGCCACACTCGGCTAATTTTTTTGTATATTTGGTAGAGATGGGGTTTCATTCTGTTGGACAGGCTGGTTTTGAACTCCTGAGCTCGTGATCCACCCACCTCGGCCTCCCAAAGTGATGAGATTACAGGCATGAGCCACTGTACCTGTTTTTTTTTTTTTTTTTTTGGTCAGAGTCTTACTCTGTTGCCCAGGCTGGAGTGCAGTGGTGTTATCTTGGCTCACTGCAACCTCCACCTCCCAGGTTCAAGTGATTCTCCCGAGTCAGCCTCTGGAGTAGCTGGGACTACAGGTGTGCACCACCACACCTGACTATTGTTATATTTTTGGTAGAGCCAGGGTTTCACCATATTGCTCAGGCTGATCTTGAACTTCCTGAGCTCAAGTGATCTGCTGTCTTGGCCTCCCAAAGTGTTGGGATTACTGGTGTGAGCCATCGCACATGGTCAGATCATTCTCACTTTAAAAGAAATGAATTAAGAGACCCAGAATCCTGGTATTTTCTAGGTTTTCAAGAATATAGTTGAGCCTACTGGCTGTCGGTTAAATTCTACTCCATTTTTGCCCAGCGCTTACCACTAATTTTGAATCAATATACTGTATAAAGTATGTGAAAAGGGTACCGAAGCTTTACTTAGACTGATTCCATAGTGTTGGTGTGCATGGTGGTAGACATGGCTCAAATTCCTGATGCATTCGCTTCTACTGCTATCAATTTAAGAACTTAATTAAGTTAGATTAGCAGCTAAATTCCATACCAGTCATCTACAAGCACGATCTGCCCATCGGATTGGACTTTCTTGGAGGCAAACAGAAGCAACTGCAAGGGAGTGACTAAAGTCATGCCTTTAGCAGAGATCGCTCGAGTTCGAATCTGCAAATAAAGACAAGAAGATATGGTTGACATTTCCAACTTCCAAATATCACCATATACTGTGCTTTGAAAATCAAAATTCATGTTCCTATTGATTTTAAAGACAATTTCAATTTTCAATGTAAACTTTTCTAGTCTTTTCTTACCTTTTCACCAAACACAAAGAAGGGAGATGGGTACTTCATGTCTTGGCTACTGAAAGGACAATTAACCGATGATTTGTGGATGAGTGCATTACGCCCTTCAGTGGTGAGAATCTTTCTCTTTTCCTTATGATAGCAAACATTGGGGTACACACCAAAGGCCAGGAGGGAGATAACAACATCCAAATTATTATCTGGTCCAGTGTTGGTAAACACTTGTGTCAGTAAACAATCTGTTAAGAGGAATAGAATGAAAAAAAAAATTCAGATAACTGGCTAATCTTCACACTACATCCAAATTATTCAAGAAAATTCAGAGAACTGACTCTTCCTCTCACTCTGTTTTCATATAACTTGTCTGTGAAACTTTCTCTCTTCTCAGAATCCTAACACCCAGATTAAGTTCAAGGAGAAATGTTGCCAAGTCTCAACAGGAAGAAAACTAAAACATCTATTCTCTTACAGACTCACCCATAAATAAGCTTAGGGTGATTACTTTTATAAGTCCCCCAATCAATCATCTACTCTTGTAAGAGCTTGACTGACAGGACCATAGTCAAAGTATTTATCTGCTATTCTTAAATAACTGTTAGTTGTGGAGAAGATGGAGTGACAATCTAAGAGGACACCCACTGGAATGATGGCTGATGATTTTACTCAGTTTACATTTTGAGTACTTAGCTGCTGACTAGAAAGTATTGACAGTTAACTGGTGAAAGTACAGGCATATTTTGTTCTAGACAAATGACTTCCTGTCTTGTAACCTCCTAATTGGATGAATTTAGACAAATAATTTATACACTGTTGTCCATTTCATTATTAAATGCATCTCAAGATTCTAAAGATTCTTGCACATAAAAGCTTTCTCTTTCCTAAAATTTTGAGGAAAAAATAAAATTTCAGCTGTCTTATGACAGAAGATAATCACTCACTACTTTTAGTTATTCACAGCGTTTAAAAATTTACCATCTTGCTGGGTGCAGTGGCTCACACCTATAATCCCAGCACTTTGGGAGGCGGAGGCGGGTGGATCACGAGGTCAAGAGATCGAGACCATCCTGGTCAACACAGTGAAACCCCGTGTCTATTAAAAATACAAAAATTAGCTGGGCATGGTGGCACACGCCTGTAGTCCCAGCTACCTGGGAGGCTGAGGCAGGAGAACTGCTTGAACCCAGGAGGTGGGGGTTGCGGTGAGCCGAGATCTGTTGATTGCACTCCAGCCTGGGTAATAAGAGTGAAACTCCGTCTCAAAAAA